AATAAATTTAGAGCAACTTGGATAAAAGCCTGTGTCACACAATTTACCATTAGAAAAAGCCGAGGTTGATCATTTTTAGTACCGAAGTATCATTTATTTTAATCCCTTTTAAGGAAATCTTTCTAACCTTTACCACATACTTTTTACATCTTTCTAAATTGCCTATAATGAATACATTTTTATTGATAACTTAGGGGCTAATTATGGCAAAATATCACAGAGCAGCAATGCTCCCTGGGTCTAACAGAGTGTCTGCACCCCACTCACGAGCACTAGGTTTGGGGTGCGCTGCCCACAGTGGCAACCACTTCTCACTCTGTCTCCAGTAAGCTCTTCTACTGTCAAACTTGCTGCTTTGGGTTGGCTTTGGGCTTAAAAAAATTCAGACAACTAAATCTTCTGGAATCCTACCTAAAATAGGAGAACAAGGACTGCCAGGTCATCAGAGGAGTCAGCCTTGGGTAGACCAGAGTGGTGACAACTGTACTGAACGCTCTTAGGCCTCTGGGCTCTGAGCTGTGATCTGGATACTGGAGAAGGCTTGCTGCACCTGTGACCTCAAGTCCTTGGGTGCTGGCCCTCTGCCCACCTTTGTTTCTGAAGCAGAGCTCCCCACACCATCTCCTGGCCGTGTGTGCACTTCAGGGCTACCTCTGTCATTCATCCTGAGTTCCTAATACCTTGGATCTTGTAATCCCCTCCGCTGTCAGTAGCAATGCACACCTGATTAATACCTGCAGAAAACCACTTCAGGGGAGGGTTAAAATGTGTATATCACACACAGAGCTTTCAATTCGAAGTGCCACAATTATGAAAGCTGCACAGAAGCAGGAAATACAGCGGTTGAAAGAATGGTCTAATTTGCAGACATCTTGCATGTGTTTTATCAGAATATGCTTGACATTTTAAGCTTTCTTGTGGCCGTAAATTGTACTTCTCCTAGCAGCAAGAGTTATTAAGTCTGTGCCCAGAATAAACCAGACTGTTTTGAAAAGTTTAATTATTTCAGTTTTCATACTCCCTTTTATGACTGTGCTTGTTTTTTTTCAGAGCTAAGCCTAAAAGGAGACATAGTCCATTATTTCTAATTTCAAATTCTAAATACCATTTTGTAACATTACCTATGTTACAATACCTATTGTAACATTCACAGGGTTTCATCATAATCTAGTAAAAATTAATTTAAAAAATTCAAAAATAGACAAGACAAACTATTTAACCAGAAGCTCCTATGAAAGATGGAAATACTTCTTGGTGATGGCTTGTTAAGGTTAAGATTGTTAAGAATACAATACTTAATGGAATCTAGGGTGCCATCTTCATGAGCTGAATGTTTATGTCATCCTCAAAGTCTCTGTGTTGAAGCTCTAACCCCTGACGCGACTGTATTTGGAGATAAGGCCTACAAGGAGGTAAGGTTAAATGAGGTCACAAGGGTGCGGCTCTGATCCAATAGGATTAGTGTCCTTTTGACAAGAACCCCCAGCAAGCTCTCTCCTCGTGCTCACAGACGGAGGCTCACGTGAGGACAGGTGAGAGAAGGTGGCCATCTGCAAGCTAGCAAGAGGGCTCCTACCAGAACCCAGATGGGCTGGCATCTTGATCCGGGACTCACAGCCTCCAGAACTGTAGGAAAATGAATTTCTCATGTTTCAGCCACCCAGCCCGAGGTCTTTGGTTATGGCAGTCCATGTAAACTGAGACGCCATCTGTCTTGTATCAAACACAGTTATTGAAAGTCAGTGGCGTGCTATGAGCTATATAACTGACCCCAAGTCCCATCATTTTTTTAATGATGAAACATTAAAAAAATGAACACAATATTTTTGAAAAATAATCCTTAAATAACAAAAACAATTAATATAAAAACCACGATGAGTTTCTGAAAGTAGCTTTTACCTTAGCAAGGCCAAAGGGTCTGCTTCCATCATCCTTGCTGAATGGCCTCCTAAACTGTTACAAAAGGGAAGCTTCACACATGAAGAAATGGTCAAAAATAGGCAAACAGAGAGAAAGCCAAAACTTAACCTTTCATTGTTCGTAGGGGACCGGCTTGTTTTGGCCTGGCAAATGTGACTCAGCTCTGTATGGAAAACCTACAGAAGCAAAGTGGTGGGCAGGAACCAGACCTTCAAACTGAGTTTTCCCGTGGGAATCAGGCCTAGAAAATGCATATAGACTGTTATGGCTTGCTCTTGCTAAAACTCCATCACCCTGGTCTAAAACAATAAGTGTGCATCGTCTATCTTCAGGGTAATTTCCAAAGCCTGTGTGAATTTTCCCAAGGACAGAGCTAATCAGCTCATCGCCATTCCCCTCTGCATGTTATTTTCATTTTCTTGATTGTACCTAAAATGTAGACAGTAATAGTCTATGTAATAGATAATAAATCTTTCTCTGATGTAAGACCCCAGGAAAACAATAAAAGCCTGTCTAGACAAGGGTTGGGCGCTCCCCTCTTGAGGGAGTGGCCGAGGCACCATAGGCACTCACCCCTTGAGATGGTAGCTGTGCCTGTTCCCTTGTTCTCCACAGGACTGTTGTCGCCTGTGCATTCATTCTCGCTGTCAGCCACAACAGGCGGACTCTGCTGCTCAGGGTCCACCACAATTGTTTACATTGTGCCCTTAACTCTATTTCCCAAGACAGCCTGAGCTATTGACACATAATTGATAAAGAGGGCCCCAACGGGCAGTCCCTCCTCCTACACTAGGGAATGTAAATTTCTTCAATTTCCCTCCTCCCACCCCTAAGCTGCTACATCTGTTTTGTTTCAGAATTATCAGGTCCTTTCAAAGTCTAGCAACTCTCCTCTGTTGAGCGCTTTCCTGGGCCGTCCGTCTGTCCCGCCTGTCCTCTCTCTCCCCATCCTTAGTCTCTCTGCGCGTGGTCTCCACCCCTCAATCAGCAGAAACAGTTTCTTCTCCTTAAACAGAACCACAAGACCACACACAGGTAGATTCAAGCCATTCCAGGACCCTTCTTCTGCCCTCTAGCTATAGACTCTTTCTTTTTCAAAGGGTGGGGCGGGCATAAGCCTGGCCCACCTCCTCCTCCTCCTCCTCCTCCACTCTCCTCCGTATAAAGTACCACACAACCTCACCCAACACTATGAGTCTCTCAGGGTTTCCTGCCACACATTTCTATCACCAAGTTTCAAAGTGATGACACGCTTGACAAAAATGATTATTGAAATCCACAGGATGGTCATTTTGCTGGCACCTCTGGGACTGACCATAGGCACATGGGCCACAATCTACCCTTTCCGAAGCTGTTGGTGATCCAGCAAGCAAAAAGGTCAAACAGCTCATGTGCCTCTCAGGTGAAGGATAAATGATGGAAAGACACAAAAGGCACCTGGCTGCAGGGGCCAAGGCCCACAGGAAACAGCATCACGCTGAGCGGTGGAGCTGAGAAGCAGCTTGAGAGCCAACAAGGGAAGAAAGCTATATCACTAGTTTCTTAAGGTCTAAGGACTAGACTCCATGCAAACTAATTCTACAAGCCCAGCGGTCCACCAGGTCAACTGCTGAAACAAACAGACCCAGGAGAACAGGAGTTAGCCGGGCACAGCTTGACCCAAAGTAGTTGTCACACAAAGTATCAAAGAAGCAATATGAATACTTTAGTGATGACTATTTACCTATAATAAAAAATGTCCACATCAAAATACAATGTAATTTTTCTCTATTTTTAAAATTACTCAATTACTCTTCAATCTTCTGTTTGAATGAATGAATCATAGCACACAGCACACTGGGAATGATTCACAACACCAGAGTGAGTGGTGGGAAGTTTTTAAACAATCAGGCACATGGTTGTCCTACATGTTTTTCATAACTGCGTAGTGATTTATGTGGTTAATGATTTATTGCATTGCCACCTGCACTTGCAAATATCTTATGATTCATAAGGTGCCTGCATTTTCTCAAATTATTCTAATTGTACACTCAACGCCTTGTAGAATGTTATGGGCTCTTATGTTTTTTAGTTATCATGATTATTTTTTATTTATTTGCTCACAATTCTGTAGGTCAGAAGTTTGGCGTAGCACAGCTAGGTTTTTGGCTCAGGGAGGAACAAGGCTGAAACCGAGAATGTCACTCAGGCTGAGCTTCGACCCTGAAGCTCTCAGGGGACAATCGCTTCCAAGCCCGGTCACAGAACTGAATTTAGCTTCTTGTAGTCACCGGAATGAAGTCCCTGAACAGGACCGAAGTCTCCCCTTCCTGCTGGCACCCTGAACATTTTTTAAAGGTTACTGGTTACTGTCTGAACATTGACTAACGTACCAAAAAAAAGAGTCCTCTTTTTTTACAAACTCATTATTTCTTGAAACGCTAAACCCCTCCAACTTTCAACAAGCTCACGAGTAATGATTCTCTGGGGAAAAGGGAGCCAATAAAAGACAGAGTCCTGGACAGTTGCCAGTGTTTGCCTCTCCTGGCTGCCTTTTCATTGTTGTTGAAAATACCAGCAGATACTCTCTGACATCACGAATATGTTTATGCTGCCATTAACTGCACCTTTGACCTCACCACTTTCTCTTTGAAAAGGCTACTGTTCCCACACTGGTGATGCAAGTCCGACAGCGCCGGACGCTTTACTGCCATCTCCCTGGGCCCCCAGCCGCTCAAGGGCAGAGCTGGAGTCTGACACCAACCCCAAAAGGAAGCACAAAAGAGGCTCCACTTCTCGAGTCAGTGAAAAAACAAACCACTCAGTGATGTTCAAATACTAGTCTTGCTTGGTTCTCCTCAAATTTTTCTTTTAAAAATATACAAAACAAACAAACCAACAAACCCAGGCTCTCTCTACCCACTCTAATTCGGCACGTCGCTGATCGAACCAGAGAGCGACTGCAGATTTGGCTGTTTTTCTTAATACACTTGGCAAGTCAAAGGGTCATTCTGATTTTTGATCCATAAAAGGAGTTGTGTCCTATAACTCAATCTTCAACTAAACTCCATACAGTATAGCTAAAGACAATAATTCAATACCTTTGTGATCCACAGGGAAGAACATCCAGCTTTCTCTCCTGAATGTTTGCTTGAATACGAACAAAAGAGGGGAGGAGAGGAGATGCTGGCATTAGAGTTGATTAATGCTACTATAACATAGTAAGATTAACACTACTTAGTTTCCTTTACAAGCAATCAAATAAAAACATAATGTTAGATTCAAACAGTCCCCTCCTGAGAACATACCATAAATGGGTTTAGGAACAGCAGTCCCTGGTAGGGACTTGAGACAGAAAACTGTGGATTTGCCTTGAAGCTGTTTTTATTTCGATGTATTTATTTTGGGTGGCTTGGTGTGGAGTGGCTAAATTCTTGGTTATCTCTCCTGGATCCAAATGAACATAATCATATTATAGTGGTTTCTCCCGGGAAACACCTGTAATTCTGCATTTAAATGTTTTCATCATCTACCAGAGAAGATGTCTGAATGGAGCCTTACCTTTTGAAATGTAAAAATCAATTTAACAATACATATGTAACAGGCTGACTAATTCACTAAGGAACTTCATTTGTTTCAGCTACTCTTCCCTCATTTTGTAGCTCCAAGTATCAGGAGCAACTATAAAATGATCACTCAATAATCAAGACTAATTAGTCCTGCCAATGTAATTTCTGAGTACAAATAAATGATCATTGATTACTTAGCAATAGTAGAGATCCAATCATATCTATTTTAAGTGTTTGAAAAAATAGATTGTGACAAGCACCAGGGTACAAAATAAGGGATTAGTGAATTCAAGCAGATGACTATTTTAATCTCCAATTAACAGGTCATTCCTATCTTTGTAACCCTTTTTAAAAAGCACCATTAAAGTTACAGAGCAAAAAATACTTGGTAGAAACACAGTTACTTCATCTGATAAAAGAACAAGCCTGCCAGGGGTCATTATTGCTCTGGACACTATGTTCTTTGCATTGCAATTCATTCAGTGGATAAGCTATTGGGGAGAACCCTTGTAAAAATCATTTTCCTGACATTTTACTTTGATTACTAAACCAAAACAAAGGAATATTATTTCACATTCAAATAGAACCACATTCAGAGACAGCAGTTGGTAATCTGTAGTTATTTATTTGCATGATGTTTTCCAGCAATTTCAACTGTAATGACTATACCATCCATCTGTTTAATATGGAAATTGGTTAGCAACTAAATCCTTTTTTTTAATTTTTACAATATGTCACCTACCTGCTTTGAATGAAATATTCTAGCTAAATCTCTAAGTGTTAGACATCACAGTGTCAATCAGTATTCATTCCAGTTTCCTTCAACTGTATATTCCTCTATCTCTAAGGCAAGAAAGCTATAAAGTACATGACCCAGACTCCCTTGCAGCTAGGGTTGTGGGCACAGATTAGGTTCTGCCAGTGAAATGAGCTAGATGAAAAGTTAGGTGGCAGGTGCGTAAGGAGGACGACGTTTGCTGGTTTATTTCTGTTATTGGGAGCAGTGGTCAGTCACTGGCTTCCTGAGCACAGCGGCACTTTGCAGCAGCTTCTCTGATCACTGGAACCCAGCTCAGACACTGCTCTTGATGTCAGCAGCTCCAGTGGCAGCCCTGACTCCTAGTCTCCAGAAGGTGGCAATGATGGCAGCCACCCTGGGGGCCAGTTCCGCAGTCCTGTCTGGGAGTCATCCTTTAAGCTCCTCCTGGATCCTCTCCCCTCCTCTCCTTTGAGTTGCAACCTTCCCTTCCAACTTTCTTGTGAGCATCTGATTTCCATCTTAAAGCCCTTGTGCATAAAGTAGCTAGGCTAGTTTTTGTTATTGGCAACCTAACTGACACAAGAAAGAAAGGGGAGAAAAGAGAGCATTTAGCACACAAGACAGCAGGCCACGCATGGAAAGAAGGGTGAAAGGGAAAAGAGTTGTACCTATCTTCACACATGATTACACCTTCAGGAACAGAAATAAGGTCACAGGCTAAACTATCCAAAACTACCCAAATCAAGGCCAATACTCTTTAGGGCCTGGGGTTGAGGCCAAAGCCTAATTATAAAGGCTGAGAAGTGATCGTCAGGAGCTCTGGAGAGAGAGGGGAAAAAAGCACTGAAAAAAAAATGGCAAAGAAGGGAGAGAAGAAAGAAAAATAAGGGCAGTGAGAAGGGAACACGGAATAACCAAGTAACTAAAGCCACACACTGTGACCAGGTTCAGAAAACAACCCCTCGCCCAGCCTTGCCTGGATGTCCCCTGACGGCAACCCACCAGGGCTGAACAGTGCTTCTTGCGGCCACCCTGCAGGGCCTGAGTCACAGTGTCCCGGAGCTGGGCTCAGGGGTCTTGGCCTGCAGACTCCGCACATGCACCAGTCGCTGCAGCTCCTGAATAGGCGTCAGAAGAACGATGTACCCATTCTGTGTATCTCCAGCTACCCTACAGAGTTAGCCTACCCATACGTGGTTTTCCAATCAGACAACCAGTAATGCAAAGAGCTGACAGTCAATTACAGTAAACACTGGTTTAGTTCTGGCCAGCTAAAAAAAAAGGACTGTAAATATCTTTTTTAAATAATTCAACACGATAGTCTGAAAAATAAGCCCAAGGTAAGATGTTTACCCAAAGGAATTGAGAGTCCTCCTGAGACTGTCATTCTTAACACAGAAAAAAAAAAGAGAAAAAGTGTGTCGCGGCCCAGGCCTGCGGTTCCTGCCTCACTGATACACTGTCTCCTTTCTGCAAAGACACGCCTCTCTCCACAGCCTTCCCCACCATCCTGACACCCGCCCCCACCACACACACAGTCAGTCTCTGCAGGCGCTGTGCGCTGGGCCTCCGACGCCCTTCCTTCCCGAAGGACCTTCCCTCACAACCCCAACAGAGCTTCCTTAAGCGAGCATTCCTGACCTCCCTCCCTCCTGCCTAGCACACAGCCCAGCTATGGTCATGGCTTACCCAGGTGTATTACCAGCTGACCTGTGGTCTGCCAGGGGCCAGTGCTGTCTGTCTTGCTGTTGCATCCTGAAGGCTCAGCGAGGTGCCCCAGGTGCCTCAGGAACGCTGAGCTGAACCACTGAAAACCTGAGTGAGGGCGGCTGCTGCTCCATCCCCCCAGTCCCTGTTGGACATCCCCATTTCTAAATAATGACGGGTGCCCTCTAGCTCTTCTCAGTGTCCACAGGAAAGTGAGGGATTGTTAGCATGCTGTGAGGGCCATCCTTCGCAGGCCGTGAACAGAAACTAGTCAATGAAATGTTTAAATTCCATTTTAGAATTTCAGCGGATCCTCTCCTCCCTCCTCCTAGTATCTCCTCCTTATCTCCAAAACCACCACGGCCAACTTGTGTCACTTAGGTGAGCAAAGGCCGGTCTGAGGTGGAGGACATGCAAGTTTGACAGTGGGAGCTTCCAACTCCCGAAGGACGCTGACTGCTAAGTGTCCGGTGGAACCACGCTGGGTACCAGAAGAGCATAAGAATACCAAGACAGGGCGATGACTCATTTACCGTCAATCGCAGCAGCCCCTTGGCAGCCCCCAGGAAATGACACTGAAGTCTACAGGTTTCTCCTTCTTACAGGCAGCTTGGGCTGACAGCATATTCAACAATTTGCACCAATGTTTTTATGGATTGTATGGATTTATTTTTTTAGACAGAAGGGAAGGGAGGGAGAGAAACATCAGTGTGTGGTTGTCTTTCATGAGCCCCTACTGGGGACCTGGCCTGCAACCCGAGAATGTGCCCTGATTGGGAACTGAACTGGCGATCCTTTGGTTTGCAGGCTAGTACTCAGTCCACTGAGGCACACCAGCCAGGGCTACACCAACTCTTCCATTGGCTGGTCACAAGCAGCCACCTTAGGAAATATCATCATCCCCATTTTACAGAGGAGGAAAGGCTCAGGGCTGCGATTCCCTCCAGGTGATGGAGTGCAAACTCTAAATTCCTTCCCATCTGTGGTTGGAAGTCTCTCCAGGAGGGAGGTAAGTACCCAAAGTGAATGAAGTCAACTCCTTTTGGAGACCTCTTAGCCTGAGGTCTGTGCTGTATACGCTTATGACATTAAGAGACGAGAGAAGAATCACAGGAGCTAAAGGACACCCAACTGGTCATTTAGCACCTCTGTGTTTTCAGCCCTCCCAGGGACTGAACTGGGAGAGAATCAGGCTTGCTTTTTAGTCCCTTCAGTCTGTCCATAGACAAACCCCTGTATCTCATGCACTGTCATGCACTGCTCTCCCATCACTTTCTTACTTGTCTACGAGCGAGAATACGAGATGGCACAGACAGGCTCTGACAGCCTCTTCTCAATAAGCAACACCAAGGGCTAAATTACAATGAGACCTTCACTCAGTTCCTATTTAAAATATAAACCAGAACACCAATATGCACTAAACACAAGGACTTGGTTGTATTTTTCCCCTACCCTAAGATTCTGTGTATTTCCAAGCCTGACCGGCCCTTTGTGCCTTCTTCAAAGCAGGCATAGAGCCCTCATCAGAATGTTTCCGATTTTGGAAACTAGCTTTCTACAGGTGCATAGGAATTCTTTGCGAGTGAAATGTATGTAAATATTCACATATTCACTTGTCAGAAATACTATAGCCCTGGCTCATGGGGCTCAGTGGCTTGAGTGCTGGCCTGAGAACCAAAGGGTTACCAGTTTGATTCCCAGTCAGGGCACAAACCTGGATTGCAGGCCAGGTCCCCAGTAGGGGGCGCATGAGAGGCAACCACACATTGATGTTTCTCTCCCTCTCTTCCTCCCTCCCTTCTCCTCTCTAAAAATAAATAAATAAAATCTTTAAAAAAAGAAAAACTGTAAAATGTAATACCTTCTTTCAGCCCTCTTAATCACGACAAGATGTGGCTGCAGAAGTACATATAAACAGGTTGAAGGCTGACTAGGACAGCCCCCTTGCCCCTCCATTTTAAGCCAGAGTTAACTGTGCAGATAACCTTTTCAGTTTCACATTCCTCCAATGAATAAAACTGTGTTGAAGCCTTTGAACTACCTCATGGTGTTTTAGCTAAATCAAGGCGCACGCACACACACACACACACACACACACACACACAAGGACAAATCACTTCCAAAGAACATCATTATAGGAATTGAATCTTTTCCAGAAACAGGGTTTCTTTTGAATCAAGAGAAGAATTTAGAGAGACCGCCTTTCTCAAAGCTGGCCAAATGCATTCCTAAAGCAGCAGCTTTCTGGAGGAGTCTCCTCAGCAGGGAGACCCCTCCCAACTTGCCAGCTCCCTTAGGTCTGTGCCCTCCTCTCCTCTAAACCCCCCTCATCCACAGGAGAGTCCAGTAGGTTGTTAGGTGTCAGGGACAGAAAAACCTACAGTTCTCAGTTCTCGCTTCCAGAAACTTCCAAACAAGTTAACCATTTATTAGCTAGTAACGTCATCCAAGGATTCTATAGGTTCATGATTCACATGAATAATAGCACTTTTAGCAGCTGAAAGAAGGGGTTAAATGCCAATTGTTGCCCGTAACATTGCTAATAACCTTACCCTCAAAATGATATAAATATATTCTGGCTCATGTGGATTTTTGTAGCCTTACCCTCTTTCCACATAAAACATTGTATGCTTATAACATTTATCACAGAGAGCCGAGATAATGCTAAAAAACATACATGTAGCCAACATTCCAATCCTACCATTCCATTTTGATAAACCTTCTTAAACTGTATTTTTGTCATCTGCTCTATTTCAGTGAGTTCTTTCAGATCAACTAAAAAAATATTCTGACGAACTTTCTGACTTAAAGTTATCTCTAGTTCACCTCCTGCTGCTAGTTAATCGATTCCCAGAGGATAGATTCTACAGGGAAAGATACACATGTACTCCCCGAAAACACACATTCATTTTCACCTTTAAGACACTAAGCGTGTCCCCTGCAGCTCGGAGCTCTGATTTATGCGGTACGCATCTGAAGCACATTCCGCAGTCCTCTCTGCTCGGCAGGCTCGCCCGTTTTGGTGCCGTCCAAGTGTTCAAGGTAAACAGGTCACCCTCGGCGACTGGAATGACAAAAGCACAGGAACTCGCCCTGGCGGTCAGACTTCAATTTCGGGCGCGCGGGCGTGAGCGCGCGCCGCGACCTGTCGCGCCCCCTCCTCCTCGTCCCCGGAGGAAGGGCAAGCGCGGAGCTGGCTGAACTAGGCTGGACTAGACGCTTCCCGCCGCTCCCCTCTGCAGACCATTGTTAGAACCACGGTCGCGGAGCTTTCCGCACCGTGTGGGGGTGGGAAGCTCCACCCAAGTGAATACTTGCAATGCTTTCTCGGAGCCCGAGGGAAAAAGCTGCTTTTGCATCAGAGCCGGAGGCTACACCAGGTGCAACTTCCACCCCTTGACCTATTTGAGAGTGTGAGAACGAAAGCAATAGGAAAAAATAGACGGAGGGCGCGCGAGGTAGCTAGACGCCGGGCGCTGGTGCCCGAATGGGAGCGCGCTTGAGCCCAGGCGCGTGCGGGGGATTCCAAAGAGAAGTTACTGCCAGGCCCCTGTGGCGAGGCCTCCCGGGCCGCCGACAGCAGGCTGAGCTGCCGGGCTGGGCCGGGGGCCCGGGGGCCGGGGAAGAGGGCAAGGTCGTGGCCCCTCCGCAAGCTCCTCCTCCCACCGCGGCCAGATCCTGGCTGGCCCCGCCCTCCTCCGGGCGCGCCCAGCGCGGGAACCCGGGTTCCAGGGGCTGGGGGGCCTTCGGGGGGCAGCGGCAGCCGCAGTTAGGCGACCGCTGATGCCCTGGGAGCGCGTTTCTCCGCCCCCATCGCCATCCCAGCCTCCCCGACCCATCCTCACCTCTCCATAGATGGCGCTAGCGCCCCGGCAGTCCCGGGACTGAGGCCGGCGGACAGTCTCCGAGGGGCAGCGGGCGTGGACGGTCAACAGAGCCCGAGGACTGTCGCCTCCCTATTTAGTCTGTTGGAACGCCCCGCCCAAACGTGCCCGGGAAGTCAGTCTCTGCCGCGGGATGGGGGTGACCTTCCTGCCTCCTCCCCTTGCTCTTCTCTTCTATCCCTTACCGGCGTGGCCCGTCCTACGTGGGCAAGGACGCCGAGGCGGGTACACCTGGCTCGCCTGGAGAGCAGCAACGCAGTACCTGGGGTGACAATAACGTGACGCTTTAGCGTGTTTTTTCTCAGTCGATCTTTGCAACCACCTACTCCAAGGGAAATATCCCCAGCTGGGGATATTGGATGACTGGACATCAAAGGAGTTAAGTACAAGGTGCCACTGCTCAGACCCTGCGGATCTTTTCACTAAAACAGGATGCTTAAAACATTAAGAGTTTGCACAGCTTCTCCCATCTAAGTAGCATCTATCGGAAGGAGGGATGGAACTCAGGTTAGAAGGTTCTACTTAAAAGTGGGCACGGGCACACCCGCACTACTTCCATAAGAGCAGGGTTAACTACTTTCTGCCAGGTCCTTCGTATGGTGACCTTCAACCTCTGTTATTAAACAACTCAGTAATCATCAGGGGCCTGTATACTTGAAAAGATTCTAGTGCTTGATATTGAAAAATTAGCACGTTTAGAAACTGTTCTGCTGCCTTTTGGCTGTGAGGTTGATGCTCCTGACTCCATGGGATGGGGGCACTTCTCACTGGGTTGCTTTTCCAGGTGTGTGTGTGTGTGTGTGTGTGTGTGTGTGTGTGTGTAGCCAGCTATAACTATATGTCTCACATAGACACTGGTGAGCTGAGAGTGGGTGGAGGTCAGCTTACACAGTTTGTGATTCTGGAATAGTTTTTGGTGCAAGGGAGGGAGCCTTCACTCGGACATCTTTATCACCATGCCCAGGGTAATTCAACTGACATTTCCTTTTTCTATAAATGTCTCCTTTTGCCTTTTAAAAAGAAAAGCAAAACATCATGAGCCTGGTTTTACATGTTCTTTAGGGGCTGAACGCAAGCCCACAGAAGTGCTACTGCTCATTTTTGTTTCCATTCAGTGGAGCTAAAAGAACCACGTCCTTGGACGCAGGATGCGTACTGGATACTGCAGTGCCTCTTGCCCGCTTCTAACAGTGCAATGAGCAACAATGCACATCTGAATAAGTATTGTATAGTGTCTGGTGCATACATAGTAGGTGCCTAGTAGGTACTTGTTGAGCGAATGAGATCTTGACAGAATGTGATAAATACAAAAGTAGTTTGTTTTAAATGCTGCAGGAAAACATGAAAGAAATCAGTTTTAGGCAGGGTGGTCAGGGAAGGCATCCTGGAGGTGGTGACAAGTATCGAATTGTGATGGGAAGAACAGGCTAAGGAATGGAAGTGAGAAAGTGTGTTTGCTATCCTTTCAGGATATGGAGAGGCAGAGGGCCTTCACCTTTTGCAGGTAACAGGCCTCTGTGAGAATCGGAGAGGAGCTTTGGCACTCTCCTGTATTAAAAAAAACAAATGTGAAAGTACGTGCATACATTTTCTGAGGTTTCACAGATTGACTGAAGCAGATCCGTGGAATCCCTGGAGGTGTGTGGACTTGAGTTACCACTTCCTTATTTGGAGGCAGGAAAAAAATAAGGAGACTATTTTCTTTAGTCGTCCTGAGAGGCATTTCCATGGCCCCTAACAGAACGTGGGTAATGGCTGAGGGGATGGAAAGAAAAGCGCGCTGTGAAGGCAAGGGGTGCACTCGGAAGCTTAGCAGTTCTTCCTCGATGCCAGGCCTGGTACCATTTTTGTTCTTTTTGTGCACGAGAATTTCACTTTCATCTCTCTACAAATGGGGGGCGAGACATAGATAAAATACGACTGTCAGACATTGGCGGTTGCTAAAGCTAAGTGGGTACATGGGGGTTATTGTATTGTTATCTCCTTCCTTGGCATGTTTGACAATTTTCATGAAAAAATTTTTAAATAATTTGTACTCACAGGTAGACATAACCAAGCCCATGACCTTTCTTAATTTAACTTGTTAGGACGTTTTTTGTATTTTAAAAAAAAACAAGAAACAAAACAACAACAAATATGCTGGTGATGTCACATATAAGTTATTAACAATAAGTACATTCTCTATGGAAACAGTAGGTTTTTCTTTTATAGTTAATATGGCACATGATAGCAGTGGTTTCAGCAAGTGTCCTCCTGATTCTTTGTAAACTTACCTTCACTTCATATTGCTCAGTTAAATTAGTTCCTTTATTATTCTATATATTTATATACTATGTAACATTATATTGCTATATATAATTATGCAATGCTATATCATATGCATGACTATTATTGTGTTGTTTGGTCAACTCAGTTCATCTGTGAACTCTCTGTGTCCAGTACATGGCTCTTGGGGAGCAGTGTCCGTTTTGTGGGTTGTGTGTACCCTTCTGTTGTTGAGCCTTGATGTTGACATTGTCAATGGATGGAACTACCCTGTCCACGTGAATGCGGTAGATATATGGTCAGACCCTGGTTCTCTGAGTACTTGTCCTCCGCCCTCCTGAGAAAGGCAGCCACAGTGGTCTCTGACAGGTCAGGTGCCATCCTACCCACCATGTGACTAACTCAACCGGTGATTCCTGACCACCGGGAGGAGCCGTCTAGTTTGTCCTGTGGCCTGCAAGGCAGCAGTTGGAAGGATGCACTGCCAGACGAGCTTGTGCGGCATTGGACGGAGATGCTAGGTACCAATCAGATTTTTTCCCAAGTGTCTCCCCAGTGGAGTCTGAATTTGAACCCTGGCAGGCAGTGCTCCAGAGCTGGTGTTCTTAACCACTGTGTTTACGGCTTCAGAAGAAGCAAAGACAGTTAAAGTGAGCCACATGCATGACAGAGTTGTGACACTGTTGTTGCTATGGATTCCTTGACAACTGAGGGGCTCACCTTACCACATGACCTGGGGCTGCTGTGTTTCCTTGTTGATCTTCCAGTACCTTCCGAATTGCTCACAGCTGTAGACACTATTGCCTGCTCTTCCTTACTTCCTCCTGTAGTTGCATATCGAAGCCGTTTCCGTGTAGATAACCTGTTTGTTTTCTTTATAACCTGAATAAGCACAACCACAGGGTAACCTGCGGGTGGCCAGTAGCAGCCCCGTGACAGCGGGTAGAGCTGTGACTGTCCTGTCTCTCCTTTTGGGGTCTTCTTTCCTCTGAATAAAGTGTTAAGAGATACTTTCTTAGTCATGTTATCTGAAAATGCATTTTGACAAACCAAATCACATTTTCCAGTTGATGTTTTTAGTAAAATAAACATTTTCCCACAAAATAACATATTTCTCTCTAAGCCATTATGAAAATTATACCCAGAATTAAGCAGCTGTGACCTTTAACCATTTATTTACCAAAAATGTGGATGAAAAGAGCATCAATAAATAATAAAACCAAATTAGTTCATGTCCCTTCTGCTTGAGGTCCATCACCAGCTCTTTGTTGCTTATTAGATGCCACAAATGCCATGGAGTAAGATACGGCCCCTCACAGCCTGCCCCTGACCCACCCCTGTGCTCAAGGAAAATTATAAGATTTCTCCTGCTTACGTGGCCCCAAATTTTACAACTCTAGTTTAGTAAATTATGGGATTTATGTAGAAATTCAGGTAAGCTGTTTCCCAAAGAGCTTTTGACCATTTTCTCATTTATTTTGTCCTCATTGCCTATCATGGTTCTTGGCACTTAGAGTTCAATGCATATATTTGATTTCATGAGTCGGATGTATTACTATTACTCTCAAAATGTGCTGCATGATGCTTATGTAACTATTTCATTCATTTTCACTTTGACCATCAACTACAAAAAGCCCTGGTCTAAGTATTGGCTGTTTGACTATTTGGGGTGCTTAGCTATTCTTACTATAATGAAGACTTTGAAAAATATTGCTGCATTTTTAACCACATGTCTCCCCCTTTCAAAGTCAGTCCATAATTTTTGAGTAATTTTAACTAGTGTAGCATGATAATATTGCAGTTCATGTATTTACTCCACCAGGCATCCCTCGAACATTTATTCTGTGCCAGGCACTGCACTAGGGAAACGATGGTGAGCAAAATGAATAAAACGCCTGCCCTCCTGTACCTTGGGGTTTAGTGGGATGACGGACACGAATCAACTAATCACACCTGCTGTACCTAAAATGGGTCATTCCAAACAGAAACAAAGTGTCTGGAAGGAAAGTTACAGAATGTCCTGAGAGCTCACATGTCCCCTGTCTCTCCTAGAGGGGACGCAGGAGTCATCTTTGTAACTCCTCAGTTTAGTCCAGAGCCGGGCCCGTGGAGGTGTTTGATGAGTTTTGTTGAAAAAACATGTGCATCTCCTTCTGACGTGTAAGTGCCTGGCCCTCTCTGTGCTGCGCGGTGTCGTGCTGTACTGAACGCAACACACTGAACCAAACACACTGAACACACGGCAGGTATTCCCTCACATGCTGATCTCAGCACGCTGCCACTTTCCACCGGCTGCCTTTGTTTCTGTGACCACAATCCATAGGTCACCCATGTCTAAATGCATCCTGTTTTCTCTGCCAGCATGAGAACGCATAACTATCCTAATAGCATTATCAAGAACATTCTTCACTTTATGGCAAAAGTTCTTATACCCACTAATACTTTGCTGTTACTGTACCAGCACAAGTCCATTGTCTCTTTTCCTTATAGTTTGTAACCTTTGCTGAAGACACAAAAGAACGTTGTTTCTTTTGTCGCGTGGAAAACTGTGTCACCCTGCACTGTCCCCTGTCATTCTCTCACTTCCTGTCCATCTGTAGCTATTTGGGTGCTGCTCCTGCAGCCTTTCCCTTGGTTTCGTCTGTGTTGCTCTTTCATCCTCTACTTCTGACCCTGTAGTTTTGGGGGTCAGCTTTTTGCTGGATCAGGAAGTGACACGTGTGTCCTGGTTTATCTTCTCTTCCTTTTTTTGTGGTGTTATTACATAATTCTTTCTCATGAACCGCTC